TACCGTGGCACCCCTCATGCCTCTTCTCCCCAACGTCCGTTCATCCGTCCTCGTCCCTCCGCGCGCACTTCGGTCCCCGCAACATTTTTCCTCTTTTTATTCTGCGAAAATATTCAAGAGAGTTTCGGATGATGGTGCATGACGATCTTTTACCTCGATGCTTGCCTCCCGACTTCCGTCGGGACGTTAAACGCCACGGCGGTCAGGCCGGAGGGGGATAGGGGATGGGGATTGGAAGCGAAAAAAATTAGAAAATGGCTTTGAGCGGTTTCACCGTGGCTCGCGAACCGACGGCGGCGGCGGAGGCGGCGGCAGCGGCGGCGGCGGCGGCGGCGGCGGCGAATCATCGGAGAATTCGGTACCTACGTGGCTAAGCGAGGGGAAACAAATGCTGGATGTGAGGAATCGCGAGATTTCACATGAGAACATCGCGCACGTCGAGGGTTACGTCTCGGGTTTCACGCCGAGAAGAGCGAGATAAAGGAGGTCTTGAAACTTAAGCATCAGTAACTTCGTTAATGCTTCTTAACCATCGCGACTTTTCGCTAGAAAAAGAGATAATATATGTCGCTGTTAAATGCGAAAATGTGACTTTTCAGAATAATTCACGTGTGAAAATTGAAAGTAATTAAATTGAAGTGTCGCAAGTGTTATTCTATCGTAAATAGTTGCACGTGTTTCAAATGCGCTATAACAGCTTTACTATAAACATGGTTAGTGCACCAATTATATCATGGAATTTTAGTTAAATGTAGGGTGGTGTAAAATGTATATACACGTACACACGCTACTGTTGATAGAGATACATAAGTATTAATCTTTAAACATAATAATGGCGATAAGGAAAATACGCTTTTGTAAAAGATGATGCCACATATTGAATGACGTCAAATTCGCGAGATAAGCGTCGGTAGTTACTTAATTTAAATAAAATCGTTAATATTCTTGGACAATTTTTTACTTATAGGCATTGTATTTTTACGCAATCTACCGCATATTACATACGATTTTACGTCACGAGCGGAGCTCGTGTGTTACATCGCTCGACAGAAAGTTTTCTCGTCATAAGAAAATTATGTATTGTTTCTCCGTAGCGTCTTGTTTTTAGCGATGATTTAACTGCATGTTAATTTTATCATTTCGGGAAAGTCATTAACTGATTGTCCCGTCTCGGTGTTGTCCCGTCCGAGTCTTACTCACGCTCGCGTTATCGGCGCGTCCCGCGCCGGTTCTCTCTCCCTCGCGCCGTTTTTCTTTTTTTTTCCCCGAGCGTGCTCGTGCTTCTCTCTTTGCTAACGGCGACGCCTCTCCAGAATGACAAGGTCAGTAACTGGCGAATCGAAGACAGGTCGGGGCGATTGTTGAGGTTGCGGATCGGTGTCAAGTAGGTACCCTATGCCATGTGCGGCGGCCCATTCAGTCGTTCGTTCATTCAGAAATATCCTGCCTCTTCTCCCCCTTCATCTCTTTCTCTCACTCTCTCCCTCTTTCTCTCTCTCTCTCTCTCTCTTCTCGCCATTCAACAAGTAGATCATCGAGCCTATGCGGCACCCTCTACCGTCGGACCTACGCAACTTCCAAGGGTTACGAGCTGACTGAGGGGGTTGTTATGCAATAAATCCGAGTTTCCCTCGAGTCTCCTTCAGGGGCTCGCGCGTCCTACGGGACTTCTCGCATCACTCTCTTTCTTTCCTCCTTTCCTTCCTCCTTTTTCCTCCTCATCCCGATAAAGCGAGTACGACGAAGTCGACGACCCCAAGGTTGTTGTTGGAAGAATTTTAAGAAGTCATTTTATATGAAAGTCAAGGAGTCCCCGAGCAATCATATCGGTATCATTTACATTTAAAAAAAGACCCGGATTTGCTATATCGTAATAATGACTCTTGGAAATGTGGGTCTTGTAGTTCTTAATCAAAGTCTAAATCTTCCGAAATTCTTCTGAAACGTTAAAAGTTAAAAAAAATAATCAATAACAAAGCACCACTTCCGACATCCACTGCGACTTTATTGTTATCAGATCAGATAGGAAGGATACAGAGAACAAACAACGAAGGCGAGCCGCGAACTGTATTCGAAACTCGAGCAAACTATTCAGAAGTGATTTATGAAGTTTCGCGATGCTGAATTCAGCTTGGACGATAAGGAGCAATTAAGAAAGCTTTCCGTGAAGGTCGACTTTAATGACGAAACAATTACATCGGCGAAATCTGGGAAAACGAGTCTTCGCATTGAAAAGTTACAGACGCGTACCGAAAGCGTACCAACCGCGTGAAAGCATCAATGCGCATCTAACAAAATACCATTGCAGGTAAGGTTTCTTATCCGTGAACGTTTAATTATACGGAACAATAGCGGCGAGTGTGCCTTATCGTTTCCGCGTTTTCTCTAATATTAACGCGCGATACGGGCGCATTCGCGCATCACATTAAAAATCTCGCCTCAGCCGCAATTTTTTCCGCGCTGAGCCGTTAAGCTCGCCAGCCACCAGTTTTTCCCAGTTGCGGGTAGAAAGGGTATCGCCGGTATTTATAGATTTCAGCATAAATTAAATGGCTTGGGAGAAAAGAATGGAGCCAGTGAGCCGAGACTGGCAACCCATCCGGACGACGTACGAACGAACGAACGAGCGGCGGCGATTTTGCGCTAATCACTAATCAGAGCAGGCTTGCCGTCGAGAAGAAGAGAGCGATAGAGAGAGAGAGAGAGAGAAGCGAGACAGAGAGAGAGAGAGAGAGAGAGAGAGAGAGAGAGAGAGGGAGGGAAGGAGAGAAAGAGACAGAAGATATCTTATTTTTAGCAGCGCTGCTTTGCACATCGCAAAAACCGGTTTCACAAAGCCCGCAGAGTCCACGAAGGAAACCGATAGCTTTCGAAGGGTTTTCGAGGGAGGAAAACATACGTATATAAATAATAAAAAACAGATACACTTGTCTCTATCACAGAGAAAAATAGCAAGAAAAAGAGAAATAAAGGAATATATATATATATATGTTTATTACATGCCTTTTCATGTTTTCATATGAAAATTTTCTCGAGCACATTCTTTGACATTTACGACAAGTAATTTCTCGGAAATATATATGACAAGTTCAAGAATTAAATAAAAAGAAAAAAAAAGAAAATAAACACTTGATAAAAGAAAAGAATTCGTGTGATATCAAAGATTTTGCCGTATATGAGTGAGAATAAAGAGGAAGACAGGAGACAATGACACGGGACATGGAATTCGCGTAACTCAATACGTAGATTCTCTTCTACCTCGCCGCACCTTACTCGCTCTCGTGCCCCCCGTCACCGGCTATAGCCACCTCCGCCGCTCTTTCTTGTTCTCGAACCACCGGCTTATCGATTACGTGCGTGCATACGCGAGAACGTAGTCGACACGAGATTCGATTATCGACTGTGACGACGACGACGCACCGCGTGACTCTGAGATCAAAGAAGCTACCTGACACTAGCTGGTACCGTATAGGTACCTTATAGGATCGTCGGCTTTCTGATTGGAATCAAGGATACACGTGACGGACGGGACCACGAAAATTCCTCAATTTCAATTACTTTTCGATCGAAAGATCGCGAAATCCATATCATTATTGACAAATTAATTCGAGCGATTTTTAAGGAAAAGTCAACAAAAGAAAAAAAATATAATATAAGATAAAACTTATCGATATAGCGAATTGGTCGATGACTTTTAATAGAAATTGAGAAAGTTGACGAAACTAGCGACAAATTGAAAGAACATCTTTTATGCTTCGATGATGAATATTAAATGAAAAAAATCAATACTCGTCAGTATCGAATTGTGCCGATGTTCAGGATGCTTAATTTCCGATCATATCCTATAATATATGATACATATATGTAATTTCAACACTGATGAAATTAAATCCGCCTGTAATAAATCGAATATATATCTGCCGGCTAAAGATCGATTTCCAAATCAATAATATATACGCATATTTATAAATCGCAATATTGCGTCAGTAAAAATATTGACGATAACAACATAATCGATGTCAACGTAATCGATCCACGATCCACGATCCACTGCGTCGTCTCGTAGTCGATCCTTAAATCTCGTGGACTCGACTCCATATGATCAATTGACCAAGTAAAGCCAAGAGAACGTTCCCGAAGAATACGAACGGCATGAAGGATGGCAACCAATTCTTCGAGCATTCGTCAGAGTGTGAGAGCAGTCGCCACGACGACTACCGATCCGCAGCGGAACGAAAAACGCGCCATCGCGGCGCGGGGTGCCGCCGGCGCTGTGGCCCTGAGCATCGTAGCTCTGGTCGTGCAATCGGCAGCCACCGCGACTCCCACCTGGGGATACTTCACCAATCCTGACGGTGAGTCATTGTCCCGTGCGCGTGATCGGTTTTATTAATTAAGATATACCCGCCTTACACACGTGACTCACTTCGCGGTTATGTGGGCTACTGAATTTTTCTCCCAATCTTCAGACGCGGTGGATCACTCTCTGACGTTGTCTTTGTCACGTTCAACTTGCAACAATGCTTGGCGAATATTTGAGATCGTGCCGTTAAACGACAAATATTGCAAATATTATCAAATCATTGAAATTGCATTAACATTGACCGTTTTTCTTTTTTTCCCCATTAATTAAAATCAAAGATGTGTTAGGAGTGTTTCATTAGTTAAGATCAAAAATTTACTTCTCGATCGATTATATTTTTTCACGATTGATATAATCCGATTCAGACAATAATTCTAACTTTTGTCATTACTTTGTATTTTATAAAAATTTTCCAAATTTTTATCGAAGAAAAGAAGAAATGTTATTTAAATATTAAAAGAAATGTTATTCAAATGAATTTTAATTAAGCTATTATTTAATTTCTAATTTCTTTTTATAAATAATCATATTTGTTAATATAAATGAAGATGAGAAAGTAGAATTGACTTTGATCGATGTTTGCGTAATATTGGCGCTCAAATTAAAGCATTTAGTATACTTTATTACTTTCTTTTTCGTGAATTATAATGGAATCGGCTTAGAGTTAAGGCCATAGAAAATATATGAGATACTTTATCTTAAAGTTATCAACTAATAGAGGAAATGTCACATAAAATTACATGTCTTGCATTGTATGTTCGCATATCTCGTAGTATGATCGATAGTTGAGAATCTCATCAGTCGATGTACGATGATTGGAGATGCAAGTTTTTAAGCGTGTAACGGGATCGTCAAAAGATATTGGATTATACTATATTGAATGTATTTTCGTGATAAATGAACAAACGGATATTGAATATAAGATAGCTGTCTACACTATCCGATAGATAAGAAATAAAATTAAATCATATTTCAAGTTATATAAATCAAAGATCTTATCCTTAACTGAAAATCTTTCCTCGGGATTATAATTGAATTAACCGTAATAAATCAAACAAGTCGTATTTAAGCTTTCCGGATTTTCATTTCGAAAATATGATACGTTTATTTATTTAAAAAATTGCAAATTGTACAAGTATTTAATAACAATGTACAAGTGCATTTTGCTTTTATATTTTATATTTTGTACATGTCATGCAAGGACAATTAATCAATTAAAATTGCTAAAGCAAAATATAAATTCCCGGGTGATCCCAGATCAAATACGAGTTATGTTCGTTATTAAAGATAGTACGCAAAAATAATCATGATGTGCTGTGACATCATACGTATTACGCAAGTTATATCCATCCATTAACAGGATCAATCGACTTCTCTCAATTTATAATTACATTAATTTCTATCTTTCTACCTTTTTATCAAACATCTTAAGAAACGTTCCAAGGCGAATCAAGAATGCGCGATTATCACGTGTTACGCGATGTCTCTCGCAATGAATGTAACATCGAGAGGATTTCAATGATTTCGCGTCGCAAGTAGAGCGTGTTAAATATGTTCGAAGAGCCAGAAACATTTCCTTCGTTCATTCATATCAGTCTAGTATAATCAAAACGCGCTTACCACGCGGCGCGTTTAATTCTCCCTCCGCTTGGACGCGCGGTTTTACGGAGTAGTAAAGGTTTGACCCAATTCAACACGTATACACTCGCGGCCCCCCGTATCTCGAGTCAATTAATTCCAGCAGCTCATTTTTACAGTTGCGTTACGCACACCACTTTTCCTCATCTACCTCTCGCCGACCTGTTTCTTTCTCTTGGCTAATAGTTACAGCTTAGCTACGGCAACAGAGCTGCGGAGATAGTCTCGGCCTTCGGCTTCAACGCGGCGTTCTTCTCGAGTCGCGCGTAATTTCCACCACGAGGTGCCCTCAAAGTCCATCCGCTCTTTGCGCAATCGCGTCAATGTGTTGTTTCCTCTATTCTGGTTAACGAGAGCAATTTGTCGCTCGGGCGAATACTGCTCGTACTTACGTTATTACGTATTCGCCGCTCCAAAAGATGCTCGTTTGCGCGTGATTAATTATTTTATCTTATTGTATTATTTTTATTATTGTATAAATTTAATTTAAAATAAATTTGTACACAATAATATACGATAACAATTAAATTTTAAGCGAGCAAAAACAGAATTTTAAACCTTCTTCTTTTTTGCATTTTGGGAATTGGCATAAAAATTGCCATATTTTGCTTATTTATATGTTTTATTTATGTTTACACTGAAAAAAATATTCAGGGTGGAAAGAACTAAGTCACTCAGGATTGTGCAAATTTAGTTACGCGAACTGTAAGCTCTCTAGTTTAAATGAATAGAATTAAATCAAATAATATAGATTGACGTAACAAACTATACTAAAAAATTTAATTAACAATAAAAATATGACTGAAATATAGTGGCATGGCATTGTCGATGAATGCGGCGGAAGTTTATTGCTCGTAACTGGAAGACCATATAAGATAGAATCAAAGGCATAACATTATGAGTATTTCTGAATAGTATTGTAATGAAATGATGATGAAGTTTTCAAAAGCTCATGAGCTCTGAGCTCGCAAAATTGGTCTCCGAAATAAAAAAAGTATTTACCGAAAGTTACTTGATTCAAGAAGTCGAGTTTGTACCGAAATTGCCATCATCAACTTATCGAGTTCCCGAGTTATTTCGTAGAAAAATTCGATGAACATTGAGATTTTTCTTCTCTACTGCAGATTTGTTTATTCGTACTCATAAAATTCTTCAATTAATTATACTATTATGTTTATTTTCTACCAATAACGTTTGAATCAATTTTATAAATATATTATAAAATCAAGTTTAATTTTTTTTTATTTATTTAAGACAAACAAGATATTAAAAAAACATTAAAATCTTTCTGAAACAATGAAATAGTTGAATCAATCGCCATATTTGATTCCGAATTGGTTTATTTAACTTTGAATTGTTTCACTTTATCTTTTTTTTTTTACAGTGTAACACATGTAATGTATATAAGTGTTTTAAATTTTAACTTTCAAGTATTTTTGTTGCTTTATGAATTTTTTATATAAACCACTGATGACAGTATCGCAAGTTAGCAAGTTGCAGATTTCTCTTTGCTATGAAGATATCTTTAAGCAAAGAGATGCTTGAAGATAAGTGGCTTATACATACAAGTACACGCAATCAAGTATGCATGCACGTTTTTCGTTTTTCGTTTCTCCGCGCGAGAAACGTATCGTCGCAACTTTCATTATTCATTATATTCCGCGATATCAAAGAGTGGTGTTTCAACGAATGCGATGACAGGACGGACGTTGCTCAATATCGCGCGCGACTCGGAAACCAATAACACGCGGTTTCCTTGTGCTAAATATGAGAGCACACGTAATTTCTCGTCGGTGATATGATCCCGCGTAGGATGCCGCGTAACGATGCTAGTAAGATCGCGCGTACCAACCTGCAATCATCCCGACGTGACTCTTCATTCGCGTGCAATCGCTCTAACAGGATAATTATAAGAGAGAATCCGTTGAAATTCGAGCAGCGCGCGAAATCAAGCAATACGTATATGTACTCGTGTAATATACGTACGTGTAATATACGTTTCCCATACGCGCGATTCCCATTGTTTCCTGTTGCCACCATTGTACGGTTCTCCGCTTCTCTCTCGTTCCGCGTGTAAGCATGCATATCGAGGAAGGAGGAATAATATGACTCTGCTTCCTCAACGGCTTCCTCCCAAGCCGTCGCGGGAGAAAAATCTCCGGGAATAAAGTCTCTCCGTTGGCGTCGCGTTGTGCCGTGAAACAACGCGCAGATCTCTCCCACACTCCTCGGCGTTCGATAAACCTGCTACACAACCACGCACATGCGTGCATATAAACGCGTTCCGCTACGTGCGTAGCAGGTGTCTGCTGCCATATGTCGTCGTTGCTAAATATCGAACGCGGATATAACGTTGTGTGTATCTATATACGGTGTCCCCGAAATAGGCTGCCAAACTTTAGACACACATTTTACTTGAAGATGGATAATAATAATTAGTCTTCGTCGCTGATGGAAAGAAATTATTTTTGATCGTGTTTCCAAGACAAAAAAAGAGATTCATCTTATAATTTACTATTTATGAATTTATTTTGTAAAACTATTGCGGACGAGGAAAAACATTTATAATTTTGAGAGTAGAGAGAGAGAGAGAGAGAGAGAGCGAGCGATTTTCTAATTTGTATTCTTTTTATTTCTATGTAGAAAATATGTTCTTAATGTTTGGCGATCTTATTACATTATTCAGAAACACTTTTTGTAATATACATCGTATCGTATATCTACAGGATGAGGAAAAAGTTAATTTAGTAATCTGTATATATATATATATATATATATAAAGCAAAAAAATTTAAATACAAGTTCAGATATAAGTTTCACAGTTTCAAAAAGAATGCATTATATATTTAATAAATCTTTTCACAATATGTATTTCTACGAGATATTATTCATCGATATTATTTAAATTATTCCGGGAGGTTAACACCTTTCTCTCACTTTGTATACGAGACACTTGCTTGCATATAGATATGTCAGGTATGTCGCTACCCGCGGGCGAAAACTCGCGTTTACAGGTATGCGGATTCACAGGTGACGGGACGTTAACTGTTACGTACACGCACATATACGCACGCATACATTCGTCGCACGTAACGTGTGAGTACGCAACGATGCGCATAGGGAAGCTGTTAATTACGGACGCAGAAACGGGGCTGATGGGAAAGTTCCGCGATGGAGTCGATAAGTCGTGAACAACGCGGGATGCATTTCTCTCGTCTCCTTTTCTATCGTACACGTCACATTATTGTTACTTGTTAAATTGGAAGATCGGATCGACCTCGTAGTTTAGGATACTGATTTTTTATTGATGTTTACTTGCGTCTTATTGTTAGGATTTGCAATCATATATTATAC